AAAGAAAGAAAGAAAAAGAAAGTCCTGGGAGATAGCTCAGTGGTCTAAGAGCCTGTCTGCCAAGTGCAAGGACCTCAATTCGATCCCCAAAGCCAGGCATGGTGGCACATACCTGTAATCCCAGTACTGAGATGCTAAGACAGGAGGATCACGAGGAGTCCAAGCTGTGTAGTAAGACCTTATATCAACTTAATAAATAAAATTTAAGAAGAAAAAAGAAAAGAGAACCACAGGCCAATCTGCCTAATGAACATAGATGCAAAAATAATCAACAAGACATATTCTGCAAACAGAATACAGCAAATCATGAAAATTATACAATATGAAAAGTGGGATTCATCTCACAGATTCAGGGTGGTTCAACATACACAAATCACTAAATGGATGCATGGTCCAGGGAGACAGCCTGCCTCGTAAGCACAAGGTCCCAAGTTCGATCCCTGATGTGTGTGTGGGTACTATATTAACAAAGTCAAGGACAAAAGCCTATAATCATATGATCATCTCTACAGATGCACAGAAAGTATTTGACAAAGCCTGACACCCATTTATAAAAACCCTACAGAAAATTGGAATAGATGGTCTTTATCTCAATCTGGTAAAAGCCATCTGTGATAAAACAACAGCATATTAAATTTAGGACAAAAACTGAAAGCTTTCATTCTAAAATTAGGAACAAGCAAGGATGTCCACTATCACCACTCTTACTCAATACAGTTCTGGAAACATTAGCCAGAGTAATTAGAAAAAGAGAAATAAAAGGAATAATGGTAAGAAGTAGCTAAATTATCATTATTTGTGGATAATGTAATACTCTACATGAAAGACTCCAAGAAAATCCACTGAAAGACTTCTACATTTAATAACCAAATTCAGTAGCATAGATATGAAGTCAACACTAAACAATCAATAGCCTTTGTATACACAAATGACAAACTCACTGAGGCAGAAATTAGGGAAACAACACCTTTCACAGTAGCATCCCCCCCAAATATGTTATTTATTTATTTATTTATTTATTTGTGTGTGTGTGTGTGTGTGTGTGTGTGGCCAGCTCAGCCCACCAGGGGGTGGGGCTGGCTGGCATGTGGTGCTGGGGGATTGAACCGCGGTCCCTGTGCTTTGCTAAGCTTGTTCTAAGTAGGTGCTTTAGACCACTGAGCCATCTCACCAGTACCCCCCCAAATATGTTTAAATATTGCACTGTTTCTCTGCTGTGAGAAACCAAAAGGGTAAAAAAGGGTCAAAATGTAAACTACACACTGGGACATGGGAACAAAATTTTCAAATGAGAAGGGGAGCAATGAAGAAGTCAGAAGGGATAAGGAAGGGATGGGGGTGGGGAGAGAAAAACAAAAAAATGAGAACAAAACTTCTGTAAATGAGGGAAAGGGGTTGAAGGGAGGGCAGGGGAATGGGAAAAAACAAGATGTGTAAAGGTACAAATTCCTTATGATGAATGTTATCATTATGTATATCTAAAATGTACCAATGCATTTTTTTTCTATATATTAGCATTAAAAGTGAAAGCAACAAAAGGCTGAATCCATCACCTAGTAATAGGGAAGAGAGAGGTCTTACTGGACCATATTTTTGCATAGCAGATAGGTTCAGGGATGGTAGTGAACCAGTCCCTCACAGATCACACACTCTATAAACCAGTAGAAGCCAGGCATGTTGGCACATGCCTATAATTCCAGGCTGAGCCTATAACTCAGGGAAGATGACCATGAGTTCAGGGCCAGCCTGCCCTACATGGAGAGACCCTGTGTCAAAAAAACCCACCATCACCACCACCCCCCCAACCCAGTAGAGTAAAAGCACTCACTAGTCAGGACCTTGCTCCGGAAATCCTGTGTGCTCTCTCTTCTGAACTCCCTTTGAGCTGCATCCAGATGGTCCCACTTTTCCCAAGTAACAGACACAGCTTCTAAGGTCACCTGGAACAAATGAGGTCCGCATTTGTACCTGCTATTCTGGATAGTGCTGCCACTCGTGCAAGGATGAGGCCAGACTCAAGAGGTGGAGAAGGAAGCATTGAGAATCAAAAACCTTGCTGTAGAATCTTTGTCGATGATTTCAGTACTTATTAGGGAGTTCGGAAGGGGCCAACGACAGGAATAAACAGGCTCTTGCAAACCTGAACTGTTTATAATCCCAGCACCCTGATTATACTGATGTGAGATAGGGAGAGCAAAATACTTGAGTTATATCACTGTGATTAACCAAAAGGGTAACCTGATACAGATGAAGATCATCTAGAAAGTTCCACCTTCCCATACTGGTCTCTGAGTTGCTATTTCTACATGAGTGAGACAGACCCAAATATCTGAAGGAATGGGCTCTTATCCTCAGCATTTGCTCAGAAAAATTCCTTTTCCTTTCCCTTGAACATTTCATAGTAAAACAGTTGCCAATAAGATGATCATTTGAGTTGGGCACAGTGGTGCATGGCTGTAATCCCAGCACCCTGAGAGGCCGAGGCAGGCAGGTCAAAAATTCAAACACAGCCTGTTCTACTTCAGTGAATTAGTGAGACTGGGACTAAACAAAACAAACAAACAAAATAAATACATAAATAAATAAATAATGCAGTAACAAAACAACCCTGGATGTGGTGATGCACACCTGTAATCCCAGCACTTGGTAGGCTGAGGCAGAGTTCAAGGTCAACCTGGACTACATTGTGTGTTGAAGGGCAGCTGGAACTACCTAACAAGACCCTTTCTCAAAAAACAGGGAGCCGGGGAGATGGCTCACTAGAGTAAGTGCTTCCCTGGCAAGCACAAGGGCCTGAGTTCAATCCCTGGTTCCACAAAAAAAAAAAAAAAAAAAAAAAAAAAAAAAAAAAAAGGTTAGGAATGTAGCTCAGTGCAGAGTCCCTTGATTCAATCTTTATTTCTCCCCTCCTTCCAAAAAGTCAGTTGACTACTCACAGGAGTTGAAGCTACTATCCTTAGAAAAGGGAAGGTCCTACAATTGGTGAGGGAGCTATCTGTCCACGTTCTAGCGAGAATCACAAACTGACTCTCTTGCGCACTGTATGTGTGCCTATAGATGTATTTACAGGTCAGATACCATGCATTTGTTATGTTTGGGGCCAATAGTATTTCAGATTTGGGGCTCTTTAAATTTAGGAATATTTACATAGACTTTACTGGTTGAGCATTCCTAATAGAAAAACCCAGACACTATAATGTTCCAAAATCTGAAAATTAAAAACAATTTCCAGGGCCGGGGAGATGGCTCAGTAGAATAAGTGTTTCCCTGGCAAGCACAAGGGCCTGACTTCGATCCCCGGTTCTGCCAATTAAAAAAAAAAAAAAAAAAAAATCTAAAAACAATTTCCTTTGAAGATAGGGTCTCAATAAGTTGCCCACACTCACAGTGAACTCAAAATCTTCAAACCTCTAATGTTTTCAGTGCCAGCCGCAACTAACAAAGAGTTACTGGCCCAAGTGTCCATAGTGCGTAGGCAGAGAAACAACTTGTTTTTGAACATTGCTGAAATATGAAATGGCCATTTATTGTTCAAGCCTTGCTTGGGTAATTTAGCAACACCCATCTTAAAAGAAAAAAATTATGCATGCCAGCCCTGCTCCCTGGGGGTGTGGTGGCAAGCCTGTAATCCCAGCGCTTGGGAGGCTGAAAACAGAAGAATCACTACAAGTCTGATCTGTGTAGTAAGACCCTATACTAAATACATTTTAAAAAAAGAATTAAAAAGGACTGGGGACATAGCTCAGGGTGAAAACCTCAGGCTCAACCCCCACACACAAAGATATGGTTATTGGAAGCTACATTTTCTAACTCCCAGATCAGCACTTTTCTGTTTTAAGTAATTGTTCCATTAAATCTCTTTGTACCTCATATTCACTTTTTAAAAAGGAAGGGAGGGCCATCACTACAGTATTTTTTTAGCTGCAAGATTTTATCTTGGGGGGGGGGGTTCGATTCCGGATCACTGGGCCTGCTGCTGGCCTCGCCCCAGGGGTGCACTGAGACAGCGATTGCGACTGGGCATGGTGGCACATGCTTGTAATCCCAGCACTTGGGAGGCTGTAAACAGGAGAATCACTACAAGTCCAATCTACCAGTGAGACCCTGAACAACCTGTAGATCTGGAACAGGGGACTGAACGGAGGCCCCTGGCCTTGCCAGGGAAGCGCTTATTCTACTGAGCTATCTTCTGGCTTCACCCTGTAGATCTTTCCCTAAAATACAGAAAAGATTTTATCTTAAATTGTTACAAAAGGCCATCTATTAATACAAAATATCAATGCCATTTTCTTTCTACGCACCACTGTTCACTTTTACTCTTGCAGGTAATTAATTAGCTGCTTCTCCTAGTGACATTCTTCTCTTCCCACTTTCTTTTTTTTTTTTTTTTTTGGTGGAACCGGGGATTGAACTCAGGTCCTTGCGCTTACCAGACAAGCACTTATTCTACTGAGCTATCGCCCCCACCCTCTTCCCACTTTCAAAACCAAATTTAGAGAGCTCTGATCAGCTCTTATATGGTGCTAATACCTATACAGTAACATGTCCTTTCTTTGTTTTCAGTGGAGGCATGATATGGACTTATGTGTAAAAGTACGTAACATCACAGGTGAAAAGCTTGACATAGGGCAAGAACCAAGGTCAGAGATTTCCGCTGATGTCATAATATCATATCACTAAATATTTGATTCTCAACTTATGCAAGGTATGTTTGTGATGACTAAAAGCAGCAAAGTAGGATTTTAAAAAGTACAGAATAGGTACAATGGCTGTCTCTCACAGAAACGACGCTTATGCAAAGTCCAACAGGAAACTGGGCTTGGCCGCAAACACCTGCAAATCCAGCACTCTAAGGTGAGGAGGAGACTGCAAACTTCAGTCCACACTGGGCAATTTAGCATCTTAGTGAGATCCTGGTTTAAAATACAAACATAAACAAAGCTGGGGATGTAGCTCAATGAGGCAGCCCTGGGTTCCAACGCCCTTACCAAAAAAAACAAAACCTTTTCATCAGACAATGTTCTATGAATTGTAATATACTGGAACTGCCTTTGCTGAAAGCCCATCACAAACTCGCCATGGGAACATAAAGTAACGACTGCGGATTGAAAAATACATCAGTGTGGTAGGTGGACGCGTCAGCAAACAGTGAAAAACCAAAAAGGAACCTTCACATGCAAAGCGGTGGGAAACTGCTGTCCCCGCATAAGGAAACGGAGAGCCTGAATCAGCTTTTCCATCCTGACACCTCTCTTTCCCAAATAGCCTACAAAAGGAGACGGTGGTTGTGCTGCAGTGGGAGAACAGTAGGTCTTACTCGTGAGTTTCCTAGGGAAAGTAAAGGTCGTCCATGTGCACTAAAGTTCCCAGAAGATACCGTAAAAGAGGGAAGAGTGAGACGCTCGGAGCGGCGCCCACCCGCGCGGCGACGCGCCCCCCACCCTGGCCAGCGCCTTCTCACCTGCGGCGAGGTCCGGGCCAGCGCTCCCTGCAGCGCCCGCGCTAGGGCGGCCGCCTCCTCCCCGCTCTCCGGGCAGTGCCTCCGCACCCACACTTGCAGCTCCCCAGGAAGGATGCTCAGGAACTGCTCCAGCACCACCAGCTCCAGGATCTGCTCCTTGGAGCGCTGCTCGGGCCTCAGCCACCGCCCACAGAGTTCCCGCAGCCGGCTCAGCGCCTCCGAGGGTCCGGCCACCTCGTGGTAGCGCAGCTGCCGGAACTGCACCCGAGAGCTTTCGGAATCCGTCCAAGTCCCGGGCGGGTCGGACTCCAGCCCCTCGCGTGAGTCTTCCTCCACTTTCACCTTCAAAATTTCCTCTGGCCGGAGCGGCGCGGCGACCCCGGACCTCACCGCCATCTGCGCTTTGGGGCGGTCAGGATCGAACGGGACTTTTTCTGGCATCTGCTGACTTCCTCCAACGGTTGCCTTCTGGTGAGAGGAGAGCTGACTCACTGAACCGCGCCCACGGCGGGCGCCCAGGGACGTCCCCTGCAGATACCCTGCCCGCGGCCGCGCGCCCCGGAGCCGCTCACCTTGCCCGCGGGAGTCAGCCTAGGGCCCTCACGGCGCTGAGGAAAACCAAAACAGAAGCCAAGCCGGAAGTGCGTCACGCACCCGGTGGTGCCGTTCTGCCCATTTCCGGGTTCTCGGGGCGCTCCGGAGGATGGAGGCGCGGGTGGGTGGGGGCTGAAGGGGAAGTTGCAATTAAAATGCGTGGCTGGGTGTGGGGGTGCGCGCCAGGAGGCTGAGGCAGGAGGACTGGCGCGAGCTCGAGGCCAGCCTGGGCTCCGTGGTGGGTTCAAGGCCAGTTTGAACTGTGTAGTGAGGCACAGTGTTAAAATTTTTTTTTTTTAAAGGAACTGGGGAGACCTCGGCTCAGAATAAGCGCTTCCCTGGCAAGCGCAAGGGCCTGAGTTCAATCCTCGGTTCCGCAAAAAAAAAAAAATTAAAATTAAAAAACGTTTTGTATGTAAGTGCACCAACTCCCCACAATGAATGTAATCACTATCTACTGCAAGCATGTACTAGTAAAACAAAAACGAAAGGCAACTCAGTGGGTTTCTCTCACCAGAGACTGGGGGTGGAGATAGGGCGTCCTTGGCCACTTCCTACTATGCAATATATAAATACATTTGAAAACTTTTTAAGAGCTGGTGGACGAGCGCTGGCTCAGGGAACCGTCAGGATTGGGAGGAAACAAGAAATTTAAAAAGCTTCTATTGTATGTCATATGTTACGGCTTTGAATCGAACGATTAGCAAACTGGGTGGAGGGGTGCACACCTGTAATTCTAGTACGCTAGGAAGCGGAAGCAGGAGGATCCCAAGTTTTATCCCAGCCTGTGCAATTTAGTGAGAGCTTCCCTTAAAAACATGGGAAAACAACAAAAAAGCTGGGGATGTGGCTCTGGTGTAATAGGTTCAATACCTACTACTGAAAAGAAAGAAAAAAAAGGAATAGTGGAAGAATGTGTTCTTGCCCAATGTTAAGCAGCTGGTGGCTTGAATAAAACCAAATGTACAACTCATTTTCCAAACTCAGGAACTCCACTACTATAAGTTCATTTACTGTAACCGCCCAAATTGTCTACTTAGTTCCTTCATTCAAGAAGTATCTGTAGGGGCCAGGGAGATAGCTCAGTAAAGTAAGCGCTTCCCTGGCAAGCGCAAGGGACTGAGTTCAGTGCACCTTCCGCCAAAAAAAAAAAAAAAAAAAAAGCATCTGTGGCCACCTACTGTGCTTTTTGTTTTCAGGAAAGCACAAGTTCAATTCAATGTGTTGACTAGCACCAAAAGGCATGCCTGTTTGTGAACACATGTGCAGTACTAAGTAAAATATTCGTCTGCTGTTTTTCTTTTGTCTCCCCCCACACCCACTCACCCCAAACCCAGGGTCTTGTGCATGCTTGGAAGTGTTCTACCACTGAGATACATCCCAAGCCCATAAATAAAATATTCTTAAAAAGGCTTAACTTTGGGTTATGCAGCTAACCCCAGCACTCACTTTCCTCTTCTTGTAAATTCAAATTTGAAGAGAAAAGATGATCTTTCTAGTTTCTCCAGTCCCCAAAGGATGTGAGAATGGTATGAACTCATCTAAATGAAGGAGAAAAGAGACGTTCTTTCAATAAAGAGAGAAGTACACACTGCTTTGAAGAGGTAGGTTAACATACAATAGTGACTTATCGATAGATGAATTTTTAAGTGGCTGCATCAGTTCCCTTGTGTAGCTATTAGCAACTGATATTTTACTCAAAACACTGAAGTTCAATATTATTTTCAGAGAAAAATCTTCCGTAATTAACATAATAGGCAGTATTATTTTTAAAATGCTAGAGAGATCACGGCCTCATGAGATTTCCTACTCAGACTTTGGTACTGGGTACTGTGATACATGTGTGTAATCCCAGCTATCTGGGAGCTGAGTCAGGAGAATCCTAAATTCCAGACCAGCCTGGGTAACTTAGTAAAAACTTGTCGCAAAATAAAAACAGCCTTGAACTTGCTATGTAGGTAAGGCTGGCCTCAAACTCAAAGCAATCCTCCTGCCTCAGCCTTCCAAGTGCTGAGGTTACAAATGTGTGTCACTACACTTGGCTCATTCAAAATCTTTTTTTTTTTTTTTTTTTTGTGGAACCGGGGATTGAACTCAGGCCCTTGTACTTGCCAGGGAAGCGCTTATTCTACTGAGCTATCTCCCCACCCCAAAATCTTTACCTTAGGGACAACTTGGAAATTTTTTTTTTTATATGACTTTGTGACTTGGTGCAGAGAATCCTGGACAAGAAATTCTGCAGAGTCTAAAACCTACACTTTCTTTGGACCATAGGTTGAGATATGATTTTGGACAAGTTGGCTAAGGACTATAAACCTTATATTTCTAGTATCTAAAAGAAGGACAGGAGCCTGGGGAGATAGCTCAGCAGTCTAAGCACCTGCCTGGCAAGCTCAAGGACCTGGTTTGATCCCTGGTACTGCATGCCATGTAGGCCCATGGTGGTATATGCCTGTAATCCCAGTGCTGGGGAGGCTGAGACAGGAGGATCACTACAAGTCTGAGCTGTGTAGTGAGACCCTATACCCAAAAAAAAATTTTTTTTAAAGATTGAAATAACACTAGGAAGAATGTATGCAATGTGTTAATTATTGAAACTGTCTTACCAATTTCTTTCTTTCTTTCTTTCTTTTTTTTTTTTTTTTGCAGAACCGGGGATTGAACTCAGGCCATTGCACTTGCCAGGCAAGTGCTTATTCTACCGCGCCATCTCCCCAGCCCCACCAATTTGATTTGAAACTGTCTCATTGCTATTTGTTTCTCAATAAAATTATGGAAAAAAATAAATAATAAAAATAAAATAATAAAAAATAAAATAAAACAATATGTACCAAATTAAAAAAAAGAAAAAAAAAGATTAAAATAAAAGAAGTAGGATATAGCAGGCCTGATAAACTATTCAAACATTAGTGAAGTTTTAGCTGATCATATACATGCTCTTTGTGAAAATGAAGTTTTTATTGTTTGTCTTAGTTACTTCTGAATACTTAGCACCTAGAACACAGGGGATACTGAATGATATTCCGTTGGTTGGAGAATATCCAACTGTGTAAGAAGAAATATTAATAGAACAGGGTAGGAGTGGTAAGGAACCAGAGATATAGATGATTGAGGATCACTTCTATGTGGGATTATGGGTGTGAGCGCTACACCTGCCCTCAGGAGGGTAATCTGCATACAATATAAGGAGGGGAGAGAGGCCTGCTAGCTGCCCCAGCTGCTGCTCCTGCTTTTGCACTTTGCTGCTTTCTGCAGCCATGAACTGCTGCCCACTGCTATGTACCACCCTGCCTTGGAGCCAGCTGAGTATGGACTGAAATTTCCATAAACTGTGAGTTAAATAAACCTTTCCTTCTTTAATTTGGGGTGTCAGGTATTTTGTTCCAGCAATGAGAGAAAAGTAACTAAGACAGTAGATGTCTCTATTTACTTTAGGGTATTGAGACATGCTGGATAGTGTATGTTAACAGTAATTTATGGTGGAGGTATCTCAGACCATGACATATGAGCTTAATCTTTGGAGGGCTAGAGACTAAGAGCAGTTGTAACAGAAGTAAAGCATGCCCACATGACTGAGTTTCAAAAACATCTTACAATATTAAGTGTCAAGTGAGCCTTCCTAGTTGGTAATGCTGTATGTGTATTATCACACATTGTTGCTAATGTTAGCACTGTCTGCCGCAACCTACAAGGAAAGAACACCTGGAAGCTCCATGCTTGGAACTCTTTTAGATCCTATCCTGCCAATCTCATCTCTTAATTGATTTTATTGTTAACACAATGCTGGGGACACACCCTAGAGTACATTACCACTGGGATGCATCCTAGAAATGTTTAAAGTTTTTAAAATTTAGAGACAGAATCTTAGTAAGTCACTAAGATGACCATCCTGGGCTAAAACTTGGAATCTACCTACCTCAGGCTGTCAGGCATAAGCCATAGAGTCTGACTTCTATGGCCTAATTTTAAAATGTATATCTTTTTGCAATGTGAGCTTAACAGCTTTCAGTGAGCTGAGCCCTCCCTGAAAATTATCAATCCTGAGGTGGGCTTTTGAGGGACCCCTGACTTTGAGTAGGTGTCAGAATGAAGGGTGAAGTTAGGGATTCATGAATTGCACAATGTGTGTGTTCTTCCTTCACCTAGGTTGGTAGAACATTTCCTCACATGATGATAGTAGTTTCAGTTGCTGAAAATGTCAAATGGAAACTATTCAGCCAAGATTAAGAGGGCTACCTAGCAAAGTCTTCTATAAAAATGTATGTTGTCACCTGAGGTTGTGAGATTTGAAAACTTGTCTTAGAGTTTTGGAAAACACTCTTAGTTGTTGCACATTCCTAGGTAGACAAGAGAAAAACAAAGTGATACTGCACATCTGTATCTAACATGATCTCTCCAGATGCCCTTTTGTATGACAGCATTTATCTGCTCAGATCAGCTATATAGATACAGATACAAATATATGAGAAACTGACCTTTTGACTCAATTTCCCTTGTAAGAGTGTGTCCTATGGCCAAATTTGCCCATCTGAGATGACAAATATAGGCAATGATATACAGAGAGCACTATTTACTATAGAAAAAGTAGAGATAAATTCAGTGCACACCAGGATTATAGCATAGTATATTTGAATAATGCAATGCTATTCACACAGTAAGAGAGTAAGAATGCTGTGCTATAGGGAACAACCTCTATGTATTTATTATTTATTTCATAAGTACATATCAAAATGTAAAGAACACTTAGCCTGGCATGGTCACATACACTTGTAATTCTAGTACTAAGGAGCGTGAAGCAGGAAGATCACCACGAATTTGAGGCCAGCCTGGGCTACATAGTGAGTTCAAGGCCAGCTTTAACTATATAGTGAGACCCTGCCTCAAAAGAAACAAACAAAAAGATAAAGAACACTTGTAAATGACTTAAATGGAGATAAATATATTATAAAAATTGTTATAGGCCTTAGCACAACTTTAATACATCATACTAAGTAGAAGCAAAATTAAGACAGTCGCAAAATTCTATAGTACATCCCCTCATCCATTATTCCAGTTTTTTTTTTTTTTTTTTTTTTCAGAACCAGGGATTGATCTCCGGCCCTTGCACTTGCCAGGGAAGCACTTATTCCACTGAGCCATCTCCCCGGTCCCTCTAGTTTTGTTTTTAAAAGGTAACTGACACATAAACACAATACAGACATTAACCAAAGGCTTGGTCCTAGATAGGAAAATACCAATCATGCATGACTTTAGGCTCCTTGAAATGCCATCCAACCTCCTCATACCACATCTCTTTACAGAGTCTGCAGTTCTACAACAGTGTGTTCTTATGCCTCCCTAAATGTTGGAACTCTTGTTCTGCCTGTCCAAAAGTTTTGTAAAATGCGAAGGGCTTGGAAAACCTACCTTACCACATCTAAGTAAGAGATTAAAGATGGCACTCTTTGGCCAGAGAAGCCCTGCGTACTGGGAAACTACACAAGGACCTCTTGCCTTAACTGGCAGCAAGGCAAAGGAAGTCAACTTTTCAGCTGAGCAGCCGACCACACCCCCCTGGCTCACCTCATTCTGATAGTTTGCAAGACCAGGGTGTCAAGGAGAGCCGCGATCCTATTGGCCACTCGGGGAATGGTACGCGCAATGCTTTCTGGGAGATGTAGTCCAGGACACCTCTGGTGCCGGGGTCGTGAAGCTATGACCCAGGTTTCGGCACTTTGAACCGACAGCGGTTGTAATGGTGGGTGGTCTTTGTTTTTGTTTTTGTTTTTGTTTTTGAGCCTTACAGGCATGCGCCGCCCTGCCTGGCTAAAGTGGGATTCGGGTGAAAAAACCCTGAAGGGTCCCAAGTTTAAGTAATGATTGAGGGCTGCAGCTTTTAGAAGGGCAAGCACACAGCTATTTCGAAATACTCAAGGGTCTACAGCCAATCAGAGGCTAGCATCTCTTGCTCGCCCCATGAGGCCCCGCCTTCTCCCAATTCAAGGAAAGGGGAGGAGTTTGGGTTGCTTGGAGGTTTGCGAGTTGGAGAAGAGCTCCGCTCTAGTGCGTGTGGAGCTGGAGGTGGCCGGGTTAAGGAGGGGCATGAAGTCACGCCCCCGTCTCACGCCGATTGGTAGGCTGCCCAGCTGGGGGCGAGGACCACACCCACGCCCGCTGCGAGGCTAGGACCTCCGGGATTCCTAGAGAGGACTCGGAAGTGCTCTCGGGGGTGGGATTTATGGTTTAAGCAGCACTTGCTTACTTCCGGCGGGGAAGTGTTGGGAAGTGTCGGCATCGCTGTTCTCTCCGTTTATAAGAAGAATCCCGTCTTCCACGCTTTAGCTGTGGGGAGCTTTATCCTCCAAAAGAGCTCTCCGACCCTGGAAACTTGAGAGGAGAGGGTAGGGATTTGTGTCGGACGGGAGTCCTGTCCCTAACCTTGACCGGGCCCGCCTCTGTCTCAGTGTCAGGAATGGTTCCAAGGGATCTAGGTCCAAATCTCTTAACTGTAATAACCCTGCTTCTGTTAGGGACCACTGAAATCTCTTGGTCTGTCAAGCTCTTGTGGCTTGAAGGACAGGGCCAGTTATGACCATTTTGATGTTTTTTCCACCCCTGTTCTGGCTTAAGTTTGGTTTATGGTAGTGAAAAGAAGCGACTACGTCTGGATTAGTAAATCGTGTCCCATTGTTTGTAAGAAATTGTGAAGTTTGTTATTTCTAAGTCGATGTTTTCGATTGGCCTAAGGTCAAATTTTTACGGCTTTTAAAAAGCATTTTAAAAATCTTGGGTTTGTTCTGTTAGTCACTGATGAGTGGAGGGCCCGCTGCCTTACAATGCATGTTTTCCAGTAAATTACTGAGTGATCATCTTTAGTAAAGGTGCCGTCTTTGCCATCTCTTTGTTAATAATGATTCATGTGTAACAGTAGGCTGTACACTACTGAAACTTCCTTTTGGAGGATCTTTAAGAACAGAAAATAAGTTGGGTCAAAGTAACGGCCAACCTCAAGAGACCTCCCTCTGAGTTGGAATGATAATGACAGACTCCCGGGAAGTTATAGACTTAGACCCTCCAGTTGAGACTTCACAAGAGCAGGAAGATCTTCTAATAGTGAAGGTGGAAGAGGAGGACTGCACCTGGATGCAGGAGTACAATCCACGAACGTTTGAGACTTTTTATCAGCGCTTCAAGCATTTCCAGTACCATGAGGCATCAGGACCCCGGGAGGCCCTGAGCCAGCTCCGGGTGCTCTGCTGTGAGTGGCTGCGGCCCGAGCTCCACACCAAGGAGCAAATCCTAGAGCTGCTGGTGCTGGAGCAGTTCCTCACTATCCTGCCTGAAGAGTTCCAGGCCTGGGTGAGAGAACACCACCCTGAAAGTGGAGAAGAGGCGGTGGCTGTGATAGAAAGTATACAGAGAGAACTTGAGGAACGGAGACAACAGGTGAGTGGAAGAGCAGACAGGAGCAAAGGAGGAGGAGAGGAAGGAGTTAAGGAGCTGCTAAGCAGCGGTGAGATTCTTAGCCCTCTGGTGCTTCATTCATATTCTTTTGTTCTCCTGGGATTAGGTGCACGGTGGAGATTTCCTGCCACTCCAGCAAAGAGAAGCAATATCCAGTGTGTTAACCTGTAGAAGACTATCTGCGATTTTATTTATTTTTAAGATTGTATTTGTTTTTGAGTGACATACAAAATCCAAAAAGGTACATAAGGTTGTAATGAAAAGTAAGTTTTCCTCCTACCCCTGATCTCCCATCTGCCCAGTTCTCTCCAGAGGCAGCCATCTTTACTTGGCGCTTGTATATCTTTACAGAGATATACCACATTCATGTATACATTAGCATATATGTATCTGACATGCTTAAGAAACACACGTTTTTTCAGTCACTGTGCGCTTCTGCCCTGCTCTTTCCTTGTATCTTATTTTGTTCCATTTTAGTGCAAATAAAACTGCCTCACTCTTTGCAGCCACATTATATTTAGGCATGGTTGTACCATTATTTATTTAACTTCTGTTCGTTTTAGTTGTTTTTTCAGATTTTTTCAAATGTTTGCTGTAATAAATTTTGGTCTGTGGGCATGGTGGTGCATGCCGGTAATCCCAGCGCTCTGGGAGTCTGAGACAGAAGCATCACAAATTCTAGCCTTGCCTGAGCAAGTTAGCAACTTAAGATCCTGTTTCAAAATAAAAAATAAGAAAAGGGCTAGGAATGTAGCAAAGGCTCTGGGTTTATTCTTCAGTACTGCAAAAAAAAAACCTTTAATGACTATCCCATGTGTTTGTGTACGCACATGCGCACTTCGACATGAAGTTGTGGAATGCATGCTTTGAAATCAAATTGTTAGCACTCATAATCCCAGCACTCAGGAGGAGCCTGAGGCGGGAAGATTGCTGTGAGTCTGAGGCCAGCTTGGGCTACATAATGAGCTCAAAGCCAGCCTGAACTACATAGGAGATCTGATCTCACCAAAAAAAAAAAAAAAAAAATCAAATTGTGGCTCAGAGGTACAAAATTTCAATTTTGATAGCTGTTACACGTTACCATAGAGATTACTTCAATTTATTTTCCCATCAGCAATGTATAAAAGCATTTTTTTTGTCACGGTCTGATAACATCAATGTTGCTAAACTTTTTCATTAATATCAATGTGGAAGATATAATATTCCATTTCTGCGTTATTTCAAAAATTTTCATTGTACATGTTTTCAGTACATAAAGATTACATTTAGTGTGGAGAGTTGGTACATGTACATAGCAAATCTTAATTCTTCCTTCCCTCCCTCCTTCTATCTCTTGGTCCATTTTCCATTTGCAAAAGATGGAAAATCCTTGTTCATCCTGTGCCATTTTAATTTACATTTGTCTTGTGAGTTTGACCACAGCATATATTTTAAAGGCTATTTATATGTCCTTTTTTGGTATATTTTTGGCAAATTATTTGTATATATTTCTTACCTGTAATCTGCCTATTTCAGTTGTGTCTATCATGTGATTTGTATGTATTATTTTTGTAGTTTGTTTTTATTTATGGAGATTTTAAATTGTTGTGCAATCAGTGTAACTCTTTCGATGATCTCTGGGGTTTTTGCCATAGTTAAAAAGATCTTCACTGTAATACTATAAAAACTTTTTCTTCTTCTTTTTTGTTTTTTAGTGCTCTTTTTATTTTTGGTCTTTTTTTTTTTGAGACGGAGTTTCGTGTGCAGTTGGCTGGCCTTGATCTGACTTGGTAGCCCAGGCTGGCCTCGAATTCACATTGAGCCTCCAGCAGCAGCCTCCTGAGTGCTGGGATTATAGGGGTGCAACACCATGCTCAGCTAGTGATTTGAAGTGATAGTTCCATGTGGAATTTATTTATTTATTTATTTATTTATTTTTGAGGAACCAGGGATTGAACTCAGGCCCCTGCGCTTGCCAGGCAAGCACTTATTCCACTGAGCCATCTCCCCGGCCCTTGGAATTTATTTTGATGTAAAGTATTTAGTGAATTACGCTTATTTTTTCTAGATATTTATCTAGTTGCCCCAGTGACATAATAAATCTCTTTTTCTTCACTGATTTATTTATTTTTTATGTATTTGGTGCAGGGTCTCACTACACAGCTTGGACTTGTAGTGATTGTCCAGTCTTCAGCCAACCCAGTGCTAGGATTACAGGAATGTGGCATGGTGCCCAGCCTGGTCTCCATGGCTGACCCAGTGTGCCCAGGGGTGGGGCTGGCGTGTGGCAATTGAGCCCAGGTCCCTGTGTGTGCCTAAGCAGGCACTTAGTCTGCTGAGCTAGCTATCTTGCCAGCCCTCTTCACTGATTTATATGCCACCCTTATCACATATATTTCTGCTTGTATTTAGGATTCATATCTTTTTACTTATTATTTATTTTTTTGGCAGAACCAGGGATTGAACTCAGGCCCTTGCGCTTGCCAGGGAAGCGCTTATTCCACTGAGCCATCTCCCAGCCCCTAGGATTCATATCCGGTCTATTTTTTATTGATTATATTGGATGTTCAATATCAATATTTGTAATTATTTGAGCTGTGTAAAATGTTTAGTATCCAGTACATTAGCCTTACTTCCTCCAAAAAATTTCTTTAGTGTTTTCTTTGGCCTTTGTGAAGTACTTAGTATGCACCACTCTAACAGTCATTGATGTTGTTGGGATTTCATTAAATCACATGTTAATTTAGGGAGGATTCCTAGCTTTGTTTCACTTCTTATTCTCTCCTGTATTTATTTATTTTTTATTTTTTAATTTTTAATTTTAGAAGATTTTTTTTTAAACATTTATTTATTTGGTTTGTGTGTGTGTGTGTGTGTGTCCAGCTCAGCCCA